TACCTCTCCACATTCATTTCATCCTCACCTTCTCTACTCCAGCCACACTGGTCTTTCTGTCCCTTGAAAACATAAAGTATGTTTCCACTGTAGGACACTTGCACTGGCTGTTCTTACTCAGATGCTCTTCCCCTTGATTCTTAAATGACTGGTTCCTTTTTACCATTCACATCTCAGCTGAAAGGTCAGTACTCAAAGAGGTTCTTCCTAACCACCAGACTGAAGTAGCCACTCTTCACTCCCCATCATGTCACTCAAGTCTTTTATAGATATTTCCTATCTATCTGTCTGACTCTCCTCTGGAAAGTAAGTGCCATGAGAGCTGGGACATTGTCTTTCTCTTTCACCACTTCACCTGTAGAACTTAGAACAGTGCCTTGTTGGTTTTTTGTGTGTGTGTGTGATGTGTTGATATATGTTGTTGAATGAGTAAATAAATATATATATGAATTAGTAACAGAGCTAGGACCAGAGCCCAGGCCTCCTGCCTTGCAGTTCAGTGTTCTTTCCTGTGTGCCACATCAAGTTGCTATTTTCACCAGTTTTATTGCTTTCTTCTTGTTTACCAGATGCTTGGCACCATTCAACCCTCAACTGGTTCCAGCTCCTAGTGATAAAGGAAATAGCCGCAAGGAATCAGGAAAGAGGACAACCAAATAATTCATGAAGTATCTTAATCCCTTCAAGTACTGAGAATTAAACATTCTATTATTCACTCAATCATTCATGCAATAACATTTAGTAAACACTTGTTATGTGCCAGGCATTATACAAGGAACCAAGGATAAAAAGATAAACCTCCTCTGACGCATCTGATGGTCTCCAGAAGGAGATGGGGCATTAAGATAATGCCTACCACAGTGTCCTGAGCTGAGGACAGAGTAACATGTGCTGTGGAAACACAAAGTGGAGAGTGAGGGAGGCACATGTGGTGGGTGAGAATCTAGGAGGATGCGTGGAAGAGTGGGATATTTGAGCTGAGTCTTAAAGAGTGACTATACATTATAGAAACCTCTAAGACTGGGTTTTCACATGACAGGTGCAGTTATGTTTCCCTTTTATTTTAGCTGATGAAAAGAAAAACCACTTTAGAAGGGCCTACAAGATGATCCTAGCAGTTGAAAGAAGCACTTATTAAGAAATAAGAGATTATTATGAAATAAAGAAAATGTTTATTGGGGAAACTTTTTTCCCCTAAGAGATGGGATACTCCTCTATTTCTTGGCAGAAATAGTCCACCAAAATAATTTCATCTTGATTTTGGATCCACATACCAACCAGCCACAAAAAAATAAAAAATAATAATAATGACAATTTCATCTTCCCTGCAGGTCTTATAGTGAAACCACTGAAGCAATCACCTATGATGAAAGAGTACCCAACCAGAGAATGATTTTCTTATAAAACCACAAACCATCTCCTTAAAGAAATGTACTGTCAGGAAAAAGCAAGGTTTTCCAGCAGGCAAGAGAATGAGGTAGATTTATGTGTATTGATATAGAGAGATACATTGTTACATGAAAGAATGAAAGTTTCAGAAGATCCGATATTGTTGCTGTTACTATGTCAGAGTCTGTATAAAAAGACCTAGAAGAATAAATATAAACATAACAACGGTTATCTCTGAGGTATGGAATTATGAAGCACTTACATTTTCTGAGTCCTACATTTTGGTGCTATTTTAATTGTTTAGGAAAAACATGTATTGTTTTGGAATTTAAAAAATAAAGATGTGTTTAGAACATAGGCCTGATTTGTTTTATGATGCTTAAGAACTTCTGATTGGCTTTACATTTCAGGATCATGTAAAGAGAGGATTTCCCTAAATTATATCATTTGCCAACATTTACAAAAACAAAAAACTGAGACCTAGAAAGACAATGTGATTTTTCTCCTACTATGACTCCTAGACTATTACCTTCAGCTTCACAGTTATTGATTCAATGCTAAGGGATAAAATACACAGATATATTGAACTCCAACTTACACATTTGAAAACTTAAGCAAGATTGCCTTGT